CAGTCACACCCATTAAATACGATTTACGAGCTATTTTCATTGACTTGTGCTGTGAAATGATCGCCACTCTCAAAGTGGTCATGATTAAATGTAATTAGGCTTGCGCCTCAAAATTCAAAATATAACCCCAACATCTAAAATGAAGTCTCGAATTGGTCATTTCAAAACCTACATATATTGTTACTGTCTAGTAGGTCACAGTATTATTGTATTATTGGACTTTTCAATAAGAATGTTCGTAAATTCACTATTATAATATCTATGCCTATGCAAAAATATAGAAATAAATTCCTGATAATAGTTCTAGTTCAAATGTTAAGTTGAATGCTAAAAAAGTATTGAAACAGATAATTAAGGAATTCATTTTTACCCCTAATCATTTATATAATTTATATGGCAGCAGGGCCGTCAAACTGTCTGATTTATGATTTTGTGGGATACTGAGCAGTCTACTTTTTTTCCCTTTTAAAAGATATCTCTTTGGTTTTATTAACATTTTTTTTCTAAATAATTTTAGTCACACCACAATTCATATTTCTCAACTTTATGCGAAGTGAAATGAAATTAATTTTGTAGTGTTATGGTAACAACAACAGCTACAGTATCATGTCAGATCGTTAATATAGAGTCGAGACAACTAGCCTTTGAGATGAGACCGGTATGAACTGAATTTAGCCTTGTGCAGGTTAGGTTGTGCATAGGTAGTACATGGATTTCGAAGGAAGTTACTGTACAGCTTCTACAAAAATTACTTAGCTGAACTAATATTACTAGAGGGTGTAATTTGATTTTGTTTTCTATATCTCATCGGTGTCCAAATTATTAATTTATATAGGCCTATCAATTCAATCCAACATTAAATATAAACGTTTTGAAGTATTTTTTTTGTATCCGCCCTCGACAAATCTCGGATGGGGGTGCTGCAGCCTCCTATCCTCCCCCCCCCACCCCCGTGACGCTCGCTTCGCATTATGACCATTAAAAGAAGATAGGCTGTTGCGCGCATGTTACATGTTATCTCGCTCAGTTATTTATTTGTACCTAAGTAGAAAGTTCAATAATTTATGGCTACTGTGCTTGTTTTAATAGTTTGATAAAAAGCGACTGGAGACTGCAAAGAATAGCATATCAAGCATGGAAAATCACGAAAGAGGGAAAACAGTTGAACGAAATTTTCCTGGAAAGAATAGAGGATTAAATGAAATGTGTAATGGCCGATATTACTTATCCTTTAAACAATTGTTATCAATGGTTATCATCTGGTAGACGGTTAAATCTATCACCTGCAAAACTAACTAAGCATTATCATAATCTTTTTTTTCCCCGTTCTACGTAAAGAAGAGTTAATAACAGTCAACTCTTTGAACTTGTTGAATAGGCCTAATGTACTTACAAAAACATGCACCGTTTTATTCATGTGATTTAGTGTTTTTCCAAGTTGCTCATACGTTTTTCTGCGACACTTTTTTCACCCATTTCCTTTTGGACAAAATAAAGAAATCTGAATCTAAATCTAAATGTTACTTTTCTCCAGATTTTTCGGAGGTCATCTGGGAATTTTGCATCGAGGACGGGATTGTACTGCAATTATAGAATGTTGGTAAGGCCTTATTAAATTAGTATAAAAGCTTTATTTTATCACAGATACTTCTATACTTTACGGGTGTCACAATCACCACTATAATCATCGTCATTATCAATATCCTTTACTACCACCAATATTATCATACTCATCCGTCGTCATCATTATCATCATCGTCATCATCATCACTACCATGATAATCGTAACTATTGACTTTCAACATTGTCTAAACGCTTTTCCTTCCACAAAATAAATTGTTATTTGTTATTTGATTATTTATATAGCGCATTCCGTTAGGTTACAAAGCGCTTTGTTGTCCCTGGTCATTGAGTAGGCCTATACATGCTTAAGTGTTGCTGCCATATTGCGCAGTAGCAGGTAACCCCACCAGGTACCCATTTGTATGTAGAGAGTAGGCCTACCTTGCTTAGGGACACAAGGGAAATGCACAGCGAGTGATTGAAGCCCCGACCTCGAGGTTGAGAAACCGAATCGTTCTCGCTGCGCCAAACCGCTTCCACGAGCGGTTTGTAATTATCAGAAGTGACAATTTGTAACTATGGTTTTTGGATCGGATCTGATCTGATCAGATTTAATTCATACATACAAAATTCATCGATAGTGTGCTGTCAAATAACTAGGAACTCTACTATGTTGAAACATGGAGAAAAGGACGCATTCTCTTTCATCCATGGTTGAAATTACGAATGTTTTCTATTAGGTACGCTTTCTTATTAGTTAATTATTTTTATGTTGTGTTCTTCTTGTATAACCAACTTTATTACCAACACATTATTATTTTTTTTATTTTTTGCTTACTTTTTTTTTTAGGATAAAAGCATACGGAAGTATACTGTGTATGCACACTTACCACTTATCACGAATTTTGGTTTACGACCCAGCAATCGTGAAAGTAAGTATTGTGGAAATGTATCTCTCTCTTTCTCTCTCTATCGCAAACTAGCAATAAAAGACAACTGCCTATTGCTAGCGTAACTAAATACCGTACTGTACAAGCGTATGAAACAGAACTTTTTGAGAATAATGTTTAAGCTATTTCTGATAGGCTTTTTTTTTGACTGGTAGTAAGTTAAATCTTTCAAAAGATGGGATGGCGACAAGACAGAAGATGGTTCCCCACGTCACTCAGGGTAATCTACACAGGTGTGCCTTTGCTTTCTGGACCCTCTCCTGCAAATATCTAGATCCTCCCCAGTACTACAACCGTCCTCACAAAAAGCCACCGTGGACCGAAAGCCAGACTGAACAGTCACACCCATTAAATACGATTTACGAGCTATTTTCATTGACTTGTGCTGTGAAATGATCGCCACTCTCAAAGTGGTCATGATTAAATGTAATTAGGCTTGCGCCTCAAAATTCAAAATATAACCCCAACATCTAAAATGAAGTCTCGAATTGGTCATTTCAAAACCTACATATATTGTTACTGTCTAGTAGGTCACAGTATTATTGTATTATTGGACTTTTCAATAAGAATGTTCGTAAATTCACTATTATAATATCTATGCCTATGCAAAAATATAGAAATAAATTCCTGATAATAGTTCTAGTTCAAATGTTAAGTTGAATGCTAAAAAAGTATTGAAACAGATAATTAAGGAATTCATTTTTACCCCTAATCATTTATATAATTTATATGGCAGCAGGGCCGTCAAAACCGTACCGGCTTTAGCCGGACTAATTTTTCTCAATTGAATTACTTTTAAAAATAAATATACACTGATACCTAGGCCTATGAAGTTAGTTATTGTTCACATCTTTTTAATGTTTAAATATTTAAACAAAAATCCACCATTCGCTTGTTTTTTATTGCCTATAAATTCAACTTTGACAATCCTTAATTCTAGTAATTAAGATTGATTTTGAAAATCTCTAGAGGTATTAATATAGCAATTAACTATATTGTTTTGGGGTGAGTATGGTATCTACAGTAGTCCACTTCCACTAGCTTTAAATCCTTCCCTGCATGATGGGTGTTGAATGTGGGTAGCTGCTTTGAAGGTTGCCAGCTTTTATTTCTGGGCGTCTAGAGATGCCATATTTTCAAAAATTGTGCACCATGGTTGGGCTGGGGTAGGTATGAATTCAATATCCCAAATAACATTAAGTGTTGTGTCTGCCTCTTGAGGGGTAGCGGCCATATTGGCATCAGAGGCAGTGGCGTAAGGTATACCGGCTTTTCAGTGATAGTAGTGCTAGTACAATTAATCTAGAGCGTCATCAATAACTTATTAATGCAAATTTGGCAAGTAAGCCTGAGTGTAATTTAAAGTGCATCAGCCGTATGTTTTTCGAAACCGTATTCATTAATTTGTAGGCCTATTTCCTAATATAATGCATAGCATACTGTATATTTGTAACACATATTTGCATATTTTTAATATTTCACCATACCTGCACTTTGTGTAAATAGGCCTGTAGTCATTGTTATTTTTTGTTATTCGGATTCTGTTGCACCTTACTTATTCATGGAGAAAAAAGCAACTCAAGTCATCTACAGCGTATTATTAATATTTCACCATAAGTCATTGTTATTTATTGTATATGATGTATTTATGTTTGTTGCACTTTACGTATTCATGGAGGAATACAATTCATCTATTTATGGCACTCATAAGAAATTGAATTTTGAACTATTTATCATTTTTCGCAACTGACCTACATTTTTCTTATTAACATGATTTAAAATAGGTCACGTATTGTTATTTGTGGTCATTATCTTGAGTCATGCTACTATTTTCTGTGCCCAAATATTTTTTTGGACCCACTCTCATTATACTGGGCATATGCCTTATTATCTCTTTTTTGAATATAGTACCTAAAGTTTTCTTGAGTTATACTGGTAAGAGGATGCCCAAGGTCATACTCTCAAAATCTTCGTATGGGAAACATTACCCATACATGCTTCCGACGGACGGATATGTGGCAGTCATTCACCGATAAAACTGTCAAAAAAAAAAAGCGAATCCTACGATTAGCAATGACTTTTAAAGGTAACTTTTAAACAATCATGACATTATCAGTATCAATGTTGTTATGTGTTTAATATTTTTTTTTGTAGGAAATATTAAGGAGTGAACATAAAAAACCTCGATATTCCTGGTTTGAGAATATTTTTGGAGAACGTTTCCTTGGAAGAAGTTTACTTACAGAAACTGATCACCAAAAGTGGGCATCTAAGCGGTCAAGATTAAATAAGGCATTTCACAAATCGTAGGTTTAAACTATTATTGTGTAACAGTAATGAAACTCAAATACGTAAGATGTTGACTTCAGAAATACTAAAATTTTAGAAGTTGCTGGCGCATCGGTTGTAGCTTGGACTCCCAACCTTGAGGCCGGGGGTTCGAAACTCTCGCTGTGCAAATCGCTTGTGTCCTTGGGCAAGACACTTTATCTTCGGTTGTCTCTCTCTACCCAGGAGTATAAGTGGGTTCCTGGTAGGTTCGAACACTATTTCGATTACAGCAGCAACATTATGGGGCCTGAGTGCATGAGATTGCGGCAGGATTTGGGACAGTGTCAGTGACTTTATCAGGGGGGTTTCACGGTTCCTCACCTCCTCTTTTTGTTCAAACGTAAAAAAAAAATACATTTGTACATTAATGGCAATATATTTTATTTTAATGTCAAGATCATTGAAGCAAATGGTTCATCAGTTCGATATGTGCGCCAGAGGTCTGCTTGATCATCTAAAAACACTAGCTGATGGTAAACAAGTAATTCCGATGGCTGAAAAATTCATGCTATTAACTCAAGATATAATTGCGAAGGTATTGTATAATTTCAATTCATTTTATTTCACTTGTGAAACAATCAATAATATAGATGGTATGATATTTATATGAAGGTTGTGTAACAAAAAAAAATGGGAAAGCTTAGAAAATGAAACGCTGTAATAAATTATACCGAAAGTATCATGCGGAAGTGTTGTAGTAAAGGATTCCTCATCTTTAATGTTAAACAGGTTGGTTTTGGATTGGATCTTGGAGTCTACGCCGAGGATGGACTTAAGTTTGACCAAGCACTTTCAGCTACATTTCGCCTGAAATGGGTTCATTTCTTACCACAGTGGTTTTCGGTAATTAAGCATAATTCCTACCAGCGCTAGATTGCTGCTGCTGTTCTGCTGCTGTTGCCTTTGCTGCTGCTATTGTTGTGGTCAGTTTTTATTTATTTGTAACATAATTGATAAATCCTTTTATGTAATCAAAAAATGAAAACAGACTCAATGATTTAATCAAGGGACGAGTTAATGCAGTGGCAGATGTGATCATGAAACGGGTTGGTTTCCCAACCTTGCGGTCGGGGTTTAAATCTCTCGCTGTATACATTCCTCAAGGCACTTTATCTTCATTGCTTCTCTCTACTCAGGAGTATAAATGGGTAGGCCTATCTGGTGGGGTTGGCAACTCCTGCCCTGTCCAGCAGCAACATTTAAGCATGTGGACCCAATGACAAAGGAAAAAGAAGCTCTTTGTATTTACAAAGAAAATTGGCGCTATATAAATGATATAAATAATTATAATAATAATAAAAATAACTTCGACAACATATGGAACAGTAACTCAACAGATGAATAAAGATATTCGACAGACGTGGATAATATGTGATCGACACAGTGGCTAATGCGACCGACAAATGAAAGAAATAACTTTAAAAGCTCTAATTAGCTTACAGATCTTTCCTCTTTTTGTATCGATATGATACAAAAGAGTATAGAACTGCAGGAGGTCCGACTCTCGGGTTTCGTTGGAACGTAATTCTATTTCAAAAGTACTACCAAGAAATAGAGGGTGTCCTTCAAAGGCGCGTTTAGAACTCTGTTCAAATTCTAATAAGTCGCCCCCTATCTCGTGGTAGTATCTTTTAACGTTTCATTGTGTGCATACAAAATCAGGGCAGTCGGACCTCTTGCAATTCTATATACTCTTTGATAGTACCCGCCATTTGGAAAGAGTCGTAAACAGCGTAGATTATCCACGTCGGCATGCCGGATGATACGAAGTCTAGGACGTGAGTGCATCCTGAAGAGAATGGACGACATGAGAAACGGTCACGAGACTCCAATAGATTTGTTGCACTTTATCCTGCAAGAGTACACAATAGACAAGTCCTCGCTTACTGGCGACTGGTTCGAAAGAATCGTCGATGAATTTGTAACCTTCTTTATAGCAGGTAGGTAATAATCTAAGGGACAATGTTAAACCAGTACAGACTGATAAGCCTATTTTATATATATATATATAT